TTGTGGGAAAATTCTACTACCAGTCCTTCATCACCTTACACGAAATAGGGTGAATACATCTCATTCCTCTAACTCTTCCTACCAATATAACGAAGTTGCGAAATCAAGGTCAACCTACTACTATAAGTAGCGTAGTTGATGGCTATAACAAATACAACTTTGCTTCATCGGCAATCCCACCAAAGGATGTGAAATGGTTAAATTCCTGACCTTCTTTGACTTAACGGCACTCGTGGAAGTGTTGACAAGTGGTTGCCATGTCGAGATTATACGCTTTGATGGTTCGAGTCTCGCCGGGGGTGTTGATAAGACTTAGGCGAGGTCGAAACTGCAGTTCGCCATGGATGAGAAAACATTTTGGGAAGCAAGAATATGTGAAAGTCAATGGAACTGTATCGTCCAGTCATATCATCGTAGAGAAATTTAACTATCAGTCTTCTAGCACCTTTAGTTTTTTTTATTTAGAGTGATCTCTTAAAAGTCTGGCATTAAACGGCAGACCTCGCTGTTTGAACAGAGGCCTCTGTTGCGCCTAACTCTCTGGTCGGTCCGTACCGGTGTCCGAGGTTGATTGGCTCCACCATATACCTTCAGACCGGTCCCGCCGGCGTATCTTCAAGGCACCAGGCCTGAAGCTCCATCGTTGTTAAGCGACTGACAACCTGTTTCGGGAGGCTGTCACTTCCATACTTTCACCCTCTTTCTTTCTGCATCTCCTGTTTTGTACCACTACAGGCCAGGGCCTCCACTCCGGGCTCGTCCGCGAGGCCGAGTCTCTCCGTCTCGCCATCGCCTCGACTGACCGGCCCGAAGGATGCCGCCCGCCGGCGGTCATCATTTTCGACTCCCGCTTGGCTGCGCTCCAGCCTGTCCGGCTTGCAGTCGGCCACCGCCGGTCTCGTGACTCCGAGCCACGGGATGCGGCGCTCCTCAGCTTCGGCCTCGACGCTCAAGCTAGACTCGAGCCCGAGGCTGTGGGCCTCGAGAAGGAGCCACGAATTCGAGGCCTCGAGAAGTAGCCACGAGTTTGAGGCCTCGAACGATGAAGGCGGCGTTGGGGCGACGGACTCGAGACGGCCGAAACGAGGCCGACTGGAGCCTTTAGGCGGCCAACGACGCCCGCTGGCCGTGGTTGTCACCAACCCGGACGGCGACAATCGGGTAAGACTTTGCTCGATTCGACCTCCGACAGTTGCTGGGCAACTTGTCTCATGTTG